AATCCCTGGGTCCTTGTATCAATTCCTGTCAGTGTTAATGGATTGTTCTCACTCCCTAAACCTTATATTGAGATTTTAGTTTATAAAAAGCATTATGTGTGTATGTCTACCTACAAGAAGGAGAGTGATATAATTCACTATTGACAATCCTTGGTACATGTGTTGTGTGCCTAGATAAATCACAAAAAAAAAAAAAAAATAAAATAAATAAATAATAACAACATCTAAGACAATCATTTATTTGTTGAGTTTACCTCCATGCAGACACTTGGGTGTGGTTCTGATATTCCTTATTGATCAAATTCTACTTCAATCCGATGCGTGAATTTAAGCTCCAGAGAAAAGATTAATTGAAAACGTAATGCAGAATATTTATAGAGGGTATAATTTTTAATATGTATTATGCATGCTTAGGAGTCATGCAAAATAAATAAATATTCATATAAAGATATAAATAAATATATAAATAAATATATAATTTATTAATAGTAGTAGTCCATGAAGATATAAATATGTGAGACTAATAATTTCACGACAGTCGACATTCAAGTAAAGAGAATGGCCGACATGACAATGTTTGAAACAGTGAATACTGTAATACCTTCTGTCAATGCGGCCAATGCCAGAGGAAGCTTAAGCAGTGACAAAGAATTAATGAAATCCGTCATATTTCCTTCGCTGATTTTACGCCTGTCTTCTAGATTAGTGATCATACTCCAACTGTCGGTATACATCTTACGAGGTGTATTATACAATCCGTCGATCTGCGCCACGTTATCTGTAGTCAAAGTCTTCCCCAATTTCATTAGTTTTTGTCTGTATGGTGTGAAACTTGTTGAAATGGTTCCTTCTTTAACATCCTGGAATGATGGCAGTGTTTCTTGGATCTTCTTTTGAAGAGCAAAATGTCCAGTTATTCTGATGGTGTCATACAGTAGAGTAGGATCCTCTGCACTCAGCTTACCATGTACAACCAATTCATTCAGCAAGTCTATCGTTTTATTTATTTCTGCTAGTTTCACATTGTCCACCGTATCTCTGAACAACACTTTCAACATACTAAGACATCTGTTTTCATCGTACCAGTTTGAGACAACCATTTTAAAAGCATTGAACTGCATACCTGACATTTCTATAAAACAACAACATTAGAAATTAATACGGTACTCTATCTGCATTATATCATGGAGGAAATAGTATTTCCTCCATGATTATATAATGTATATTTTTTCATATATTTAAAGATTTGCAAAAGTGAATGCACTCACTATGGTATTTAACCAGTGTTTCCACTAAACACAATATACACCTACTTTAAATACACAATGAAAACTAATAAATTCTTTCTCCTCTGTTTAAAAAAAAATTAAAATATGTATTTGTTTGGTGTTGTTATTAATTACTTAACCGAAATATTAAAGATCCTCGTTATTATACATTTTACATAAAACATTAAGTTTGGGTGAAAGTAATATTGTTACTAATAATATTACTTATATAACGATCTAGCCCAAAAACAGGCTGGCGTAGCATTATACAAACAACCACGTGTTGACACCCTAAATCAATACTGTGCTACGAAATAAGTGGGCAAGTCAATGTAAATGCAAAGGGAGTATTTAGCGCGAATGGCACAGTTCGACTTGTGATCATTTTGTCCCCAGTTCAATTTCACAACGCTTACTTGGTGTATTTCTCTGAATATTTTACTAATATTTTATTATTTAGCTGACAAAAGGGAATTGTTGATTGTTACATTTTGAGTAAGTCATTTGAGGTGCACGAATCAATAAATTCCTTGCTTTATGCTGCAAGATCCGCGAGAATAATTACGAAAAAAACCACTTATTAGGCCAAAAAATGTTGTGTTGCCCTTAAATGGAAAAATGAAATAGGACAGGCCTAAAACTGCAGTCCCTATTATGAAGACCCTAGGCCTAAGGGCTCATTAGCTCGTAGGCACCACAATAGAACGATGGCAAGCTTGACAAACAAAAAATATTCAAAGTACTGACCGAGTAAAAACTGACCAAGTGTATACTGAAATAAATTTAACAAAAATAAATCTAACAAAAATAAATCAGTTTAAAGAAAGATTTATTTGGCTTCGAAACGTAAAATAATATGTGTATCCGAGAAAAACCGTAACGGAGCCGAAAACGTCTTGCTATGTACCAGTTTTAAAGCGATGGCTAGACCAAAGTCTGTTTTTATTTATTGTAAAATATACCGTAAGATAATGAATACGATTTTTCATTCAAGCAACCTCTAGTTGTACAGTAGTAAAAAATAGGTTAGGCCTATACTAGATCTGGTCGTGGCTTGACAGCTTAGCGCGAGAGATCCTATGTTGTATGCATATATCGTCGTCGCGCTCGGATTTCAAAATTATGCCTTCTATTTTACCGATTTTACGCGTGCATCTATGGCCCGATTTTGATAAAAATACATGTCTGTTTTAGATTTTATGTTCTAAATGTTAATTTCGGAAGTGGTATTTCTCGAATTTGTATGAAAAAAAAATTGCCGACCCGATTTAAAAAAAAAATCGGTCGGTCGCGGAGGGCAACACAACATTTTTTTTTTGGGGGGGGGCTTACAATGTTGTCTGCTTATTTTACAATTACAACATCAACCGATTTACCTGGCATCCGCTCTCCATGTATGAGCCTATGAGGTAAAGCCTTAGACAAGGATGCATCTTGAATATCTACAAGTATATAAAGAATATGTATTTCACATAGGTTGTTACTCATTTATTTCAAAAATAACTGATAATTTATTTAGATTTAGACTTTGTTTAATATAGACAGAGGGATAACAGAGACCCAAAGTGTGAAAATTCTAAGCTCAAATCCATGAAATTAAAAATGGAATGGTAAACTGTTACGTCAAACAGTACTTTATGGATGAACAGCTGCTCTACATAAATCACGTCTTACACAGGAGAAGAGTGGGGAACATCAGCTAGCTAACATCAACAACCCAAATGTACAATGATCGGTGCTTACAGTTTAATATATTAAGTACATTTAATGATGGTCTGATAGGGCTACATATTTTTTGTTTGATTAATGTTGTTTCAATGTAAGTACTCCAGCAAGATGTATTTTTTTTTAAATATATTTTTTGTGGTTATCTTTAGTAAATTTCTGTTTCACTCTTCTTGTTATCGTTTACAGTAGTTAATTATTATGCGTAATAATTGGGGTTTTTTCGATACTGAATAAATTCAACCAATAGGGAGAAATGAATAAAGATATTTTGTAGAGATTGTTCAACACACTGACACTGAATAGAGAACGAATATAGAAATGTTTGTAATAGAAACCAACCTTCTTGAAACAAGACCTTAAAACGAGATGTGTTCATTTTATACTTTCCACATGAAACCCTATCGTTTTCTAAACATTTCTCAAGAGTATGTAAATGAGGTGGCTGCGTGGGATGACATACGCTGCACAAGACGCGTAACTCGTAACCGATTCCTACTGTTGTAACATACACAGTCTTCAGTTGATGCTTGAGATAGTTTAATACCTACAGAGCATAATAGAAAAAAAATTATTATCTGTATATTACGTACAATATAAATTTCATATTGTGTTGTTGTATTGTACTGTATGTAGTAGCAAGCCAGACAGTGAAACTGTGCAGTTTTAGCACATGACAGTTAATATTGGTTTTCAAACACACATCGAAATATCATTATTATCATCAATGTCATTATTATAACAATTATATCATTATTATTATCATTATCATTATTATTATTTTATATAATTATAGAATTATATTATTATAATAAAGAATACATGTATTTTACAAATCTTTCCTGTAAGATTAACAAGAATTTTGGGACAGCATAACAAAGATTTATTACAGTGATAATGTAACAATACAATCCAATCACGAGGGTAGCAATGTGACGCGCTTATAGGCTTTATGCATGAGGCGCTATATAAGACCAACATATTATTATTATTATTTACCTCCATACAGACACTCGGGTGCGGTTCTGATATTAATTGTTCACCGTCTGCCTCTTTATCAATCCGATGTGTTATTTCAAGCTACAGGGAAAACAAAATTAAAAACGTAACTCAGAAAATTTACATAGCACATTTTTGGTAACAATAATAATAATAATAATAATAATAATAATAATAATAATAATAATAATAATAATAATAATAATAATAATAATAAATAATAATAAAAATAATACTTAAAAAAACAAGTCTGGACTGATGAAATTCATTATCTATAAAAATAATAGAGTAATAAAATTATTATAACAACAATGATAATAGGTTTCATGGAATACTAAAACCTACTTTTAAATTCTAAAAAAATATATATAATTTCATATCAAAAACAAATTAACAATAGCAGTAATAGAAAATGACATTTATTATTATTTTCACACAATAGATGACGTACCTTCAATGCATGCATGTTCTTGATTTTGACGGCTCCCAGACTCACTAAGTGATCATCATCAAAGTCAAAGTCGCTACGGTTCTGAAACAATTCCGCATCATCGCTTCTACCTTTCTTCTTCATCAAGTCGACAAAGGCAACGACTAATACACTGTAGACAGCATCAGGGAGGAAGTCTGTTGGAGTCACGTAGATTGATACCATCTCCTTTTTGTCTTTCTCAACTTCCATGTTCTTGTCCTTAACGATACTCATTAGACAAGGGACGATGAATGTTCGATCATCTTCTTCAGATTGCTAATTTAAATATGTCAGAAAATGTACATCAAATTTACATATATACATTATACATACATACACATATATACAATTTCTTACAGTTTTTACTTTGACCTGTTCCGTATTTCTCATTCATACGTGTAAACGCTGAAGGACACAGGCATGTCAGAAATATTCGTTTTGAATAAATGTTATGTGTCTATTATGTCAACGTATGCAATCACAGTACATGATAATCAGAAACATTAACTTACCTTCTGTTTTTCAAAGAGCAGTCCAAAAACCTTCATCTGTTTTATAAAAACTTCAAAGTTGCTTTTGTCTTCCTTTAACTCATGCTTCCACAGATGACGCAGCAATGTCTCACTCAAAATGCCTTTATCAAGCAGATGCCATGATTTCATCATTGCAGGTCTCTAAATAAAAATAAAATAAAAAAAAAACATAATTTTATTAATAAAAGTGTTTATGGGATTTTAAATACTATTTTTTTTTTAAATGTTAATGCACATTCAGTATTTGTTCTATAGCAGGTCTGGTGTGTAATAACATAACATAACATAACTTTATTGAACATACACTTTTAAATCAGTGGCACACGTTCTTCAAAATGAAAAATATACAAAAATAAAGGAAATCAAAACAGCATATAAAACTTGATTTAAAAAAAAGAAAGACGATTAAGAAAATAATTATAAAGATAAGGTAATTTAAGTATTAAATGAATAATGTCACAGCCAATACTTAAATTAAAATGGAGTGTTAATTCTAGACTACTACAGTATTATTAAATCTATCAATTGACATTATAATTCATGATACACTTAATATTATATTAATTTTAATATAATATTGTTTCATTAAATAAAATTATCAGAGGTAATAACAATAGTATTATCAGTAATATCATCATTCTGTCATAAAAAATGAATGGTCATTAATTAATCAAGTTTACTTGATTGCTAATAGTACCTTATCTTTTGTTATGATTACTTTTGTGAAGATTTCAATCAACATGTGGACGTTAGTAATCACAGTGTTCTTCAACTTCATGTTAGTTGGCGAATACATAATGATTCCGCAATCACTTAAATAGTTGAGAATGTGGATGGTGTTTTCGTTCGGAATTCCATAATCAACAGCAATCTCATTGACCTAAAAAAATATTGAATAAAATATTAGAAACACTCTAATAGTTGTCTATAACTATAAATATGACCAACATAAAAATATTCATGACAATGAAATGTTATTACATGTAACCCTGATATGGAAATAATAAAAAATAAATAATAATAATAATAATAATAATAATAATAATAATATAAATAATAATAATAATAATAATAATAATAATAATAATAATAATAATAATAATAATAATAATCACATTTATTATAATTAATTCTAAAGTATTTTTCCATAATCTTATAGAATATTTTTGAGGCTGAGGAAATTTCGGAAAAAATAGAACAAAATGGTACCTCGTCTAAGGACATGCGCAGTGTTGTTTTCCCGACTTCTTGGATTTTCGACTGGAAATCAACCCATTTTGTGGGAACTGTTTTTGCCATTTGCTTTGTGTAACCTCCGATATTTTTCTTCAATTCTTCAATCCCTTTGTCATTTGCTGATGTATTATCTACAAAATACATCGTTCTGTCTACGTGAAGTTCGAATGGCATCCCTTTGATTTCTTCAAATATTATTTTGAATATTGCTTCAATCTTTGTATAAAATTAAATAGTACAATTTTATATAATTCCATTTTACATGTGTTTTCATACATTGAAATTTACAAAAATAACAAAGGTGAAGCACATTAGAGAATCCAAAATTGGGATTCAATGACTTAGAGTGCAGAATTCTGGGCAGGTTAATAGCTGTAGAAAAAGTTGGGTGGGGTGTAGACACTGTGTTGACATGTGTAGAGTTGAATAGATTGGATGCTCACATTCCAATCTCAAGGTCATTGGTTCAAATCCTATCAGATCCCAGAATATTTCACTCACGATTAAAAACAACTCCACTACATAAGTCTCATTATAAGTTTATGTAGAGCACCATGTGTTTATGTTTGTCATGTGAAGGGATTGTCACCTATTCAATAGGACAGTGATTTAGACGCTAATAAAATTGGATTTTAATGATGGACATGGGGGTAAATAAAGATTTACTTATTGGTGGAGAGCCATAAAATTAAAAAAAAAATTAAATGTTTACATTACACAAAATTCGAGTATAATTATTGTTGTCTAAAACTGAGATGTAATATCTTACCTGATTCTGTTTATCCTCCTCACTTCCCTCTAACTTGTCTTTGTGAGTGCCAACCAAACTGATTGTGGGTGAGGCTATAGTGTCATTTATCAATTTCGTACTTGCATTATATTGTAGTACAGCGTGCTCATATATTGACCGTATCCAGAAAATAATCATTTGGAGATTAGTCATTACAAACTTATCCTGATAAGAGGAAGAGAGGAATAGAGGAGAGTAAAGAGAGAGAAGAAAATGAGTGTCATAGTTAAGACTATTAAATTACAAAGTTACTCAAAATATCTACACAAAATATAAGAACATACTTAATATACTAAACAGATCTGATATGCAATAAGTTAATGGAAAGTAATTCTCTTCATTGCATAGTAGAAAAGGTGAAATAATTTATTTACTTTTAGTGGACCTCTTGATTCTGCCAATTCATTCAAAGGCTCAAACAAACTAAAAGCAACGACATATGACGATCCATCTGTCAAGAAAAACTAAAAAGGAAAATAAAGTAAATACATGTATGATTAATTAAAATAATATTAAACATTAAGTTAAAAATCTCTTAAATGTCAACTGATCATTAAAAGAAAATGAAATTATCAACGTATCAACTGTATTTTGATATTTATGGTTTATGTGCGTAATCTATATTGATGCTGTTGAGTAGGCATGCGCAGTATTATCTCAACTATAATCAGCACGATCGGTATTGTATTATCACTACAGTAATTATAAGAGGACCCAAATGAAAGCAAGTCATGAGTTATCATTGGCTTTATTCCATGTTAAACATTCTCTGTTTTATAAAAGTTTTTATCGCATTAGCGTGTTTTGTTTTATAATGATGAATCATATCTCCTATTTACTCTTCATTGTACATTTGGGTGTATATTATTTTAATAAATGCTGATATGAACAGGGAACAGTTAAATTGTAATTTAACTGTTCCCTACTGTGAATAAGTAATTTTGCTGTATTTTTTCTATTTCTAAAAGATTTTTTGCTGACTCATTATGGTAGTGCACCAATATTCATATGTAAACATCCATTAACTCTCGAATGATCTAATCTAATGTCCAGTGACAAATACGATAATATAGTTGTATATTATGAGATTTGGCCAACATAATACCATATACATTTTTACATCACTCGGTACGTTTTCAATAAAGCTTTCAAAGCGCGCATCACTCGGTACTTTGTCAGTAGCCTTGTTTCTCGAATGAATAGTACGTAAGTGGCTGTAGGTCTAGCTTTAAACTTTAATAGAAAAATAAGATAAGCACCTACAGAACTCTTAATATTTAACAGATACGTAATTGGCTAGAAGGATTATGATTGCGCTTACACATTTATAGAGTACGCCCTATATGTAAGAAGTGCAACTCCATGCCAATTGGTAGTCTTGTGCGTAGTGTCTATTTCAGACGACCAGTTTTTCGTTATTAGTAATTTGCCTTTATTATAACATCATATGTGAAAGAAAAAAAATCTATTTCTGTTTTCCAATGATACAATAATATTGAAAGGAACAGTTAACTGTTCCCTGGTATAACATAATCAGGAAGGTGCTATATGCTGCTTACCCTGTGAGTTATATAATATGAGATTTGGCCTGCATAATCCCATATACATGTTACATCACTCGGTATTTTGTCAGTAGTCTTCTTTCTCGTTATTTTCATATAGAATCGTTTAAAAAGGCCGGGTTTTTCAAGTTTAGCAACAACTTTCTTAAAAATTTCTGGGAGTCTATCAAACTGTCTTGTCGATACATTCGCAGCGCTATGAGACACATCAGAAATTTCTAAAAAAAATAAGGAAATAAAATTCGAACTCATATACATTTTGAGTCAAAAAAAGATGGTCTGGAGTGAAGATGGATTATGGTGATGGCAATAGAATACAATAATAAATGAATGGTGATAATGTAATAAAAAATGATTATGATTATGATGATATTGATTGAAATTTATGAGGAATGGCAAGAAAAGATGATAAGATAACTATAAACAATATGGTGTTACTGACTAAGGGGGGCTCAATTATCAAGTGCGCGTAAGCTGCTAAAAATGGAAGGGGGGATTTACAATTCGCCGGGAACAAAATATAATGTAGCATTTACATGCCTTTGAAATCCCTAAGTTTTAACTCCCGGTAGCTTATCACTGTATCTCTTTTGATCGATGCCTGACCACCTTACACGCTCTCGTCAGGGAAATAGACAACGCGCAATGTAAAGTCAAACTGGGCTTAGCGAAAATACTATTGACTGCCCAATTCCACTGTAAAGTAATGATATAAGGGTAGTGATGAACAGTGATTTTATACCTCTTTCCTCTGAAGTTAGACTTGTAGCTGCTTCTGGTGTTTTCTGCAATAAAATAGTTTGTAAAAATTGTACAGTAGTTGTTAAATTATTTTGTTTTAGCAAATAATCATTAATTTTAGTTACTCCTATGTAGTTAAGATTCAATTTATAATAAAAAAAAAAATCACTAGCATAGTTGAAAACGTGGAAACATCAAGTACCAATAACAACGCTACCAAATACCGTAAAACGGCTAGGTGATGAATAAAAAATATGGGGGTCAATGTAAGAGGAACGTTTTAGAAATAGGGGGAGTGGTAATCAATCCAGAATGCGAGCATCTAGACCGGGAGAGTAAAGGAGAGAAGCTTATTGGAAGCTACGAATATTTGACCAATTATTATGAATTTATTATCTATTTTATAGGCATCAAATTATTGTAATATGAATTCATATATTTGTCTAATGTCAAAGTCGAGACTGATTCCACGATCACAATGAATTCTTCCAAGCATTATGAAAAAAATTATTCTACGACGAAATCTTCTCTTGTAGACGACGGGGCCTTAAAAATAATTTAAAAAAATACCCTTTCCGAAGCCCAGAAATGGTACTTTAATATTAAACGTTTAACATAGTCTATCATTTGTTTTACTTGTTACTAATTCTTAATGCCAAGCGATAAGTATTTTATGCATACAGTTTTTATAATATATAACACATTTTAATCACAATTTGTACTATAAAAACTGTAGTTGACCTTTAGAGAGCTTTCTTTTAAAAATTGGCCTAATTAGCGATATCTTATTGTGTTTGTTTTACATGAAATTAAAATGTGGTTATACTGTATATGGCCATGAGGTGATGCCATCATGACCATATTAAGACATGTCACTTTTTTTCCCTTTTTTTTTTCAAATAAAATTTGAGAGTCTGGACAGGTTTTATATTTAAAATAATAAGAACTAGGGCATTCCAAAGAGAGTTCTTACCTCGCCCTGTGTCCAAGTAGTATTTACGCAAGGAGGAAGATTTCGATTCATCGTTTTCTTTAAGCTCGAGATGAGTACGTTTTAAGGATACATTGAAGACGCGCGCTTTGCAATTTACAGTATAATTATTATTATTATTATTATTGAAGAAAAATACATTTTTAACTTATTTGATAATGAGATTAACCATTTTATGCACTCTGTAATTACACCATCGTCATTCAGCACCACGGAACATTACTTAATGTGATAGAATTTTGCGCTATTCAAGTTACTTCGATTGATCGATCGATTGATTGATTTACAGACACCAATCGACATGTGTACACACTCGTTGCTAAACTCGAAAATAAAAACTTTTAATGTACTTTTAAATATGACCAAAATAAATTACAATATATTGAATAATAATTGCATACGTGTTAGTTAACTATGTTTATTACTGGTGATGGGTTTGGTCCAAGAGTTAAAAAAATGGAAGGGTCATCTCCCCTCCCCCCGTTTCCGTCACTGTTGAAGGGGGGGGGGGAACACTTAGGGAGTTTTGTAGATAGAGTCCCACTTCCATCAGGCTCATTATGTTTGGGACTCAGGAAAGGGGGCGGGGGGAAGGTATAGTTTGTCGAGGAGAAAAAAACAATTTGTCATGAAAAAAATGACAAAACCCATGGGGTATCGGACCGTTATAAATATTTTTAAAAAAATTAAAAAAATAATAATAATTTTTTCATCATCATACCATTGGAGATGCTGCAGAACTGGGTGATACGGACATAGATGTGGTTTCCTGGCTTTCTGGTGGTTTCAACTTCCTTGCAATATGTTCTGCTATATTATACTCTCGTATTTGCTTGGTTAATTCACACACTGTACAATAATCAAATAATTATTAGGCCTATCTTAAGTATATTGATTTTTAATCAATTCATTTGCGATCACGTATATTTGATACATAACAATATTTATTAGCATACGCGTCTAGCTTATAAAAAACGCCAACTCAAATACCCCCCACCCCCGCGAGTCTCAGTTGAAATAAACACTTCACTAGAATTTCTGTAGACAAAACGAATTTAATCAACATCATTCTCACTCTCATAAATGTTCTACTCCAAGTAAAATTACATGTTTTCTTCTTGTTGGGATCATTTGGCATAGGCCTATTTACTGTGAAATTAAAGAACGTTTATTAGTGCATACCTATTTATAGTTTATATACGTACGTATATTTTCCACCAAAATATTATAAACGCATCCCTTCAATGAATTCCCCAGGGCGTTTATTTAAATATTTACGGTAATTCTATTACCGCACTCGCGTGAATAAGCGCCTGGGAGCTTAAAATATTTTTTGCACTTTTTGAGGGGCCCTTATGAAAACAGAGTGGAAATTGAGGGGGCGCTAATAGAAATAGATGAAAATCAAATGGTTCTTAAATGAAACGATTATATAAGGACATCCAACCGCAAATTACGAATGGTGCGGCGGAAAAGATAATCGTCCAGAGAGCATGGCTTGTTATGAAAAGAATGTTGTGAGTACATTATCAACAGAATAGCAGATGAAATTAGTGGTAGTGGTTAGCTTGTTGGATATCGGCCGATTGAGATTAGCAGGATGTTATGATAATTTCAGGTTTTCTTGAAAAGGCTATAGACAAATGCAAGAAGATGAAGGTTGGAAAAATACTGTCTGTCCAGGGAGCTCTCATCTGTCAAAGATAAATATCCTCATTTTGATTTTGACTATAACTCAAATCATGCCAACATCCACAGTCCCATGGTTGATTGGACTATTGAGGGGGCGTTTATTCAAATTAGACGGGGCACTTATTCAAACGGGGCGCTTATTCGCGCCAGTACGGTATCCATACTGTCTACATCCTTATGTTCCTCCCACTTGCTGCAGTCTTCACCAGTTTGAAATACCGTTGTTGTTACAATACCATCTGTTGATGGTTCGTTTTTATTGAATCTATTGTGTTTTAAGAAAAAAGAAAAATAATAGTTATAATGATAATGCTAATATTAAAGTAGTGATAATAATAAATTATTGTTAAATAATAATAATAATAATAATAATAATAATAATAATAATAATGATGATGATGATGATGATACTAATAATAAATAATTATAATAATAATAATAATAATAATGAATTACGTTCCATAATAATTACATACACGAAATAAAACAGCTTAATATAATTTTTCATTATTAATTAGTTAATAAATGTTTCGATATGTTGAAAAATTATATTACAGTTTCTACTCCTAGTCTACGTATGAGCAAAGATATCTTTGCTTTCAGGCTTATTATGACCTAATTGAATTTGACCTTTGTTGATGTTGACCTAGCAACACATTCTTTACCTAATAAATTATTTTTAACAAACGAGCGTACAATACGCACACACACGCGCAAAATAACATGCTTGAAACGATAAAGTGGCATTATCTTTGAAAGCAGTCAAGGAGCACTTCATTCATGAAGAGACGATTTACAAATAAATATTATTAAAAGTTCACATAATTTTGTTAGAATTGTTGAAATAGAGTAATTTAAAATAGCTTAAATCAGTCAGCTTCCTTTCTTTAACCTTAAGATTATATAACACCAAGCTATCTTTTCTATTTAAATAGAATAAAAATAAGGAAATATCACTTACTGTTTTCTAAGAATGGAATTTACAAGGCTGGTTTTACCAGCCCCTTCCTTTCCTAGAAACATCACTCTGCTATTTACTAACGTCATTTCACCTTTTTCAATTTCATTGACGAAGGCAGTAACTGCATCTTTTCCTCTGGCTTTAATTTGTGCAGGAAGTGTCATGGCTTAAAATAAAAATATGTCTGTTTCAAGTACTGGTATATTACATTATTTATAACTTTAAAAAACAAAATTAAATAAATCTTAAAAATAGCATTGTCATAACAATATAGATAAAAAAATATTGGAAAAATGCCAATGTGTAGGCCCTGTAGCCTTTTTCAAAATCAAACTTTAAAACTTGTGCGTTCGTTCATGCACAGACTATACACCGCAGATGATTAAATTCTCAAATATACAATGGGTTCGTCAATTTACCTAAAAGTAACTTTTTCAGTTCTTCCTTCTTCTCTCGTCTGATCGATCGACCGCCGTATTCACCACATTTATTCTTATCATACAAATCAAGAGGCGTCTTTCCTTTCTGCAATAACAGACACGAGTACACAAAAGTTGTATTATATTCGATAACAGTTTCAAATTGAATAATGATGAAAAGAATTATTAAATATTCCAATTAGTGTAAAGAATCCAAATCAAAATTAATAAATACATTTTTATTTAATAATAATATTCATAAAATATAGCAAAATAATATTTTCAAAGTATACAGCAACACTATTAGCATCAAGATAATTTTACGATAATTTGTTATCACCAAATTTATTGGTACAAAATAATTGGGAAAAAAATATTTGTAGGGTACCGGTATTACTTTTTTTTTTTTTTTTTTTTTTAAGATTTGATATTTCTCATGTTTGTTTTAAACACATGAAACGTTTCTAGTAGTAGTGCCTCCTGATATACAGTTGTTGTATTAAAGCCATTGACTGGTATCCGTTTGATGATGCATTCTTATTTGTATAGGCCTATGTACATTACGTTGTCTTTTATTAATAACGCGACATGTTCCATGAGGCACATTGCCATTTTGCGGTGTTGTTCATAACTGCAGTACTCTCTATCTAGACAATAATGTAGTGCTGTGCGTCCATGCTGCAATGAAAGGATAATCAATGTAAAGTTTGTTGTCAAGTACAGACACAACACAAGAATATGAATTTACAAATAATTACGTCAACGTAAAGCAGCTGAAATAATTCATAATTATCGTACTTAATTATTTCTCATTGTAATCATTATAAACATGATAATGATAATATAAAATAGAATATTAATTAAACAAATTATGATGATGATACTATTCATATTAATAGCAATGGTAATGAGAATGTTTGTGATTATTCATTTCAATAATAACGATGATATTTTATGATGATGATAATGCTGAACGGAACATTCTTATTTTTCAGTCAGCTTTATATAAATCATGCGCGTTATAAGATATACAACAATATGAATAAATAGTATGTGATGACAAAATATGTTGTGAATTCAATGATGTTAATTTGTTTACAATTAATAAAAAGTGTTGTTTTATTACACTGTACTTACGCCGTCTCTCCCATTAACTTTGATGTTTGATTCTTGCAGCGCGTGTCTTAATGCTGATACACGTCCGAACATCGCCAAGTAATGGAGAATAGTTCGACACTCCTACAAGTGAAAAGTAGAAAATTATAACACAGGAAAACAAACTACAACAAGAAACTATGACACCACATATCAACAAAACAAACGTCTGAGTTACATCACCCATACATTAATTATTACACTCGTTATTATTAGATACTAATTACATAATTTAATATTTTTTAAATGATGTAAAATCTCGCAAATAATGTTTGAATCAAAAGGCCTATGTTTTACACTATATTCAAGTATTCTTTCAAATTCGCATTTTTCAATTTCATTGTCATTAATATATTTAGTAAGCTATATTGATAAAAAGAAATCCAAACATAATTACTTTTCTCTCATTATAAAATATATTTTTTGAAAGTTTTTATTGAGAAAATAGTGATCATGTTCATAACATAAGCTTTTTAGAGTTAAAAAATGCATATAAATCAAATAATAAAATCATAATTTATAGTATTAAATGAAATAAATCACTGTAATCTACATTGAATCAATGTTGACTTGTTTGTTGCATGATTTGTATACATGATATGTGTTTTGTATTGTTTGTATAAAATGTAATGATATTTAATTTCACTCACGTTGTCCCCGTGTTCTATGGTCTTCTTTGTTGCTGCGTCAGTCATCATCTCCAACACGTTGTCTGGTGCTCTCCAATACACAGCGTACATTAACGGCGTCCAGTCGAACTACGAAAACAAACATGAATGCACACTACACGATTATAACAACATACTACTACAGAATACACATACATTACAAACACACTTAAATCACATCATAATCACATCAAACATTAAAAATCATTCAATAAAATCAATCGAATTAGTAATCAAGTCAAAAAATGAAATATAAATAACAAACCGTTAAATATTTCGGATTTTTGTCGCATGCATATTTATATTATTTAGATTGACTTTTGTTACATGATTCAATTTATATTTTTCTTCAAGAAAGATTTTTTGTAGTTTCTTAATTTTATTGACACTATGACATTTCAATTACATTCAGAATTAAAATGAATATAAGGAATAACATATTTTTCTATAAAATACAAATTATTTCATAATATTTTATCAAACCAAGTTCACATTAATTTTGCACGCGTTTTCCTATTCCTGGAACTTAAATCAATTTACATTTTTTCGAAATTATTTTTTTACGAGTTTTATATTTGTATTGGTACCATGATATTCCATGTATACTAAGAATTAAAATAAGTGTACGGATTTAATCTAAATCCAATGTATTTTATACCATTTTACTATCTCTGTATGTAGGCCTAGGCCCCTATTATATTGAGTACGGACGTTAGTGAATAGGATCTAGGAGTATTTTTTGAGATTACATGAGATTGATATTATTTCAAGCATATAACTGACAAACTATTTCAGATTTAATGTTATTATTCCTCGTGTAATATTATTCTCTGATTCTTGTTATTTGCCTTGTTTTTTATTTATCAGGATAATATTTCAAAATAAATCTGTTGATTTAATGACGTACGGTAATTATTATTTTGTTAAACCCACTATGCAGCCTAATTGGGAAATATAATTTTACTCATTTCTAATAAATGTTTAATTAAAGTTGAAGTTCGATTTGTTTGTTATTTTTGTTAAATATTAACATTAGAATTTCATGTGATCTTACTTTTAAATTACTGTACAAAATTACAATTCATGGTATTTAGGCCCTAATCTAATTAGTTATTGAATTGAATAATACATACTGTATGT